CATGTAGTTTTATCTAACTGTCAGTATGTGCTGAAAAACAAAATAAATTTTGATAAGAAAGTAAGGGTATACGTATAAACGTTCAATGTTCTAATTTTAGGGCGGTATCATTACTCAAGCCTTAAACTATCAAGAAGTTCGTGAGTGAGTGCGTCCGTCTGTTTGTGTTTTTTTGTAAGAAAGATGTTCATTGCCAAGTATAGCAATGATCTAGACATAAAGCATATCCCAAGATGATATGGGAAGTCGTTACCTATTAGGACAGAACTTCACTATCAAAAACCGGTCCCCTCCCCTTCACGTAACCTTGGCTAGCGAAGAAGATGAATCAAAAAGTGATTGTGGATAAGAAGCAGACATGTAGAAAGCACTTTTACCAACATTGTAAGCAGATAACGAACAGGAACATGTTTATATATATGCCCTTAAATGTCACGATTTTTAAGTCTTTGAAACTGGGATAATATTTTTTAAGAATGGTAAATTCATACATGCAAGGCGTAGGAATGCCAAATGCATGAATATTTAAGGTCTAGAAAAAACGATTGAAATAACATACCATAAAACATCAATGTTTTTATTTTGTTCTCTTTGTCATTCGTTCTGATCGTATGCAAGCCAGGGCCATCCAGTAAGGTACATAATGACGTCATTTTTAGGATAGTGGTGATGGAGAGGGTAAGATAACCATCAACGTACAATTATTTCAGAATGAGTCCGAGTGGGTTGATGTTACATTGACGTGAACTCGGAACTCCTTTTATTCAAAATCTGATGCAAATGATTTGCGCTTATAGTGTTGTTCGTCATCTCCGTGTAACAGTAAGGTCTACAACACGTAACAATAGCACAAACTTTGCTGCAAGTTTAATATAGAAATAAGGAGATTTGGTATGCTTGTCAATGAAACGACTATCCACAAAAGACCAAATGACGTGGATTTTAGCATACCATATCTTGCTATTTTCATAATGAAATTGCTTTATTTCGAACCTCTTGTTCGTTTTGCTCTATCAAACTGTATAGTGTATGCTCTTGTAATTTCAGCCCGTTTCACGTCAACTTTTTTCCTGGCGTGACTTTCCTATGCGAGAATTTGGATTGGGGGGGTCCTTAATTTCTTTATTCTTTTTTCTATTTCGTCTGTTTTTCTCTATTCTTTAGTATTCAACTGCTTTTTTTGTCCATTATATACTCTATTCTGTAAACCACATCCAGACTCTCCCATAGGGGGAGGATTGAGATCTCAAAAAACATGTTTAACCCCGCCGCATTTTTGCGCCTGTCCCAAGTCAGGAGCCTCTCAGTGGCCTGTGTTATTCTTGTATCATTTTTAATTTTAGTTTCTTGTGTATAATTTGGAGTTTAATATGACGTCCATTATCACTGAACTAGTATACATATTTGTTTAGGGGCCAGCTGAAGGACGCCTCCGGGTGCGGGAGTTTCTCGCTGCATTGAAGACCCATTGGTGGCCTTCGGCTGTTGTCTGCTCTATGGTCGGGTTGTTGTCTCTTTGACACATTCCCCATTTCCATTCTCAATTTTATCTCCTATAGGTTAAGGGTTTATCTCTTGACATAACATGCGTGTGGATTTATCTTCTTCCTCTCCTATCTTCTGTTGTCCCAATATATTTGTTTTGCCTGTTTTATACTTTTCTGGACCTCTTTTCCTGAGTTGGTATCTACCGTATATCTTGTGCCTTTGGTAATCCGTATTTTGATAATATTTGTTTTCAGTCTGTTTATAAAACTGTTCTCATTTGGTGGTGTCATACACAATGGATATCTATAATTTGTATTCAATAGTAGACTACTAGTATGGTCTTCCCTATAGATACCTATGGATCTTCATAATGCTGGCACTGTTGTGCCAATATATTCTGCTCTACTTCTTCGTCATTGTAATTAATTGTTCTTTTCTCACTTCCGGATAAGATTTCATACTCTGCCTCAAAATCATATTTTAAAGGTTGGTTGGTCCAGAATCTATTTATTCTATTTTTAAGTGTGTTTAAAGTTTTAGCTGCAATAACTTTAATATAGTTAGTATAATTCCGCCAAAAATATCAGAGTACAAGTTTAGTCAACAACAGCCTGCTTCGGTTCTACCACAAAGATAGCATATAAACTTGCTGTACGGTGTGTCTGTCCTCATTTTTGACTGCAGATCTATAGTTGTAGTCTCAGTGGTATTTTTCTTCTCTATACCTTATAGTCAAGTTATTTCATATGTTTATCATGTTTTCGGGAAAAAAACAACGGGGGAACAATTCCTGACGTGCATGTAGTTCTGCTCCAATTATAAAGAAAATTGTTCTGGCTTTTATGAGTCTATTATATGATGTTTGTCCATATGCATAGTTGTAATGATCCCTGAATGAAATGTTTCAGTTTTTTGGCTCCATTTTTATCATCTACCAGTTTCACTGAGAAGTTCTCACATTTTCTTTTTAATGGCACTAAATCGGATTTAAATTTGGGTTCATTATCACTAGGTCTTAGTTTCCTCGTATTGTCATACTATATATATAGCAATGATTGTACTTCGTACTTACGACTCACTGGCAAGCTAAGTTATGTCATCTGCGTAGATAGGTACCACTACTGTACGTTGATGTTGTCTATTCTAGGTCCTCTCTAGTACCTCAGTTCTCGTTCGAGGCAAGCAAAGTTATGTCATCTGCGTAGATTGGTACCACTACTGTATGTTGATGTTGTCTATTCTAGGTCCTCTCTAGTATATCAGTGCTCGTTCGACACAAGCAAATTTATGTCATCTGCTTAGATTGGTACCACTACTGTACGTTGATGTTGTCTATTCTATGTCCTCTCTAGTATCTCAGTGCTCGATCGAGGCAAGCAAAGTTATGTCATCTGCGTAGATTGGTACCACTACTGTATGTTGATGTTGTCTATTCTAGGTCCTCTCTAGTATCTCAGTGCTCGTTCGAGGCAAGCAAAGTTATGTCATCTGCGTAGATTGGTACCACTACTGTACGTTGATGTTGTCTATTCTAGGTCCTCTCAAGTATCTCAGTGCTCGTTCGAGGCAAGCAAAGTTATGTCATCTGCGTAGATTGGTACCACTACTGTACGTTGATGTTGTCTATTCTAGGTCCTCTCTAGTATCTCAGTGCTCTTTCGAGGCAAGCAAAGTTATGTCATCTGCGTAGATTGGTACCACTACTGTACGTTGATGTTGTCTATTCTAGGTCCTCTCAAGTATCTCAGTGCTCGTTCGAGGCAAGCAAAGTTATGTCATCTGCGTAGATTGGTACCACTACTGTACGTTGATGTTGTCTATTCTAGGTCCTCTCTAGTATCTCAGTGCTCGTTCGAGGCAAGCAAAGTTATGTCATCTGCGTAGATTGGTACCACTACTGTACGTTGATGTTGTCTATTCTAGGTCCTCTCAAGTATCTCAGTGCTCGTTCGAGGCAAGCAAAGTTATGTCATCTGCGTAGATTGGTACCACTACTGTACGTCGATGTTGTCTATTCTAGGTCCTCTCAAGTATCTCAGTGCTCGTTCGAGGCAAGCAAAGTTATGTCATCTGCGTAGATTGGTACCACTACTGTACGTTGATGTTGTCTATTCTAGGTCCTCTCTAGTATCTCAGTGCTCGTTCGAGGCAAGCAAAGTTATGTCATCTGCGTAGATTGGTACCACTACTGTACGTCGATGTTGTCTATTCTATGTCCTCTCTAGTATCCCAGTGCTCGTTCGAGGGCTTTTTATAGTGTCATTGTAATATCTCTTGTTTAATACGGTTGATAGTTACGCACCTTGTTTTAACCACTGTTCCTGTCATGATAAACTGATCGCATAAAGCATTATTCAATTTTACTTAAACTGTTACATTTGTGTACATGTTTCTCAATAGAATCCAAGCAGGTGATTCCATGTTTTCCATCATGAAACAGGGTTTGTTAAAAAGTATTTCGGCTGGCATGTTTTTAAAATGCTCAAATAAAATTCCATTGCAGCTGCTGGGCTCTTTCCATATTTCAGTTTTGTGCGGCCCTTTTAACTTCCTTTCTGGTTGTTGGTTCTATTTCATAATTTCTGTTCCTTTTTATTTGTCCAATTATTTCGGCTTTGTGAATTTTTGTGAGTGGATATTCATGTAAGTTTATCAAAATGATATTTTCAACTCTCAAATGTATCCTGTTTGTAATAAAAAAAATCATGATATTAATGTTTTCTTTCTTGGAATGATACCGTTGGATTTGAACAGGTATGTGCAGTAGTTAATTGTCATTCTCTGAAGACTTAATTATTTGATCCATCCTTTTTTCCTAGACCATTCTCGTCAAGTTGTCTTTGTGTTGGCGTGATTTACTGGTGTCTTTCAGTAGTTTTGACAAAGTTTCCTGTTTTATATATTCGTCACCTAGTGATTTCCACTGATTCGAAGAAAACTTTAAGATGTGAAATTTTGAAGTCACTGGCAAATTTCATTATTCAAAATTCGTTCTTCTATTGTTGTTTTAAGTCGTCTGTGTTTTATAATTTGGTATGGAGTCGTTTCCTACCAATTTTGACAAGATAACTTTTCTATTTCTTTAGTGAATGCAATCGGAGGTTATTGGTCAATTTCAGTCAGTGTGTCACAAAAAATTTAAAGGAACAGTTGACGACAAAATTGACATTGTAAGCCTTGGTACGGAAATTAATAATACAGAGATTGGCAACTTTTGTGTTATAGTAATCTCACATTGGTAACTATCCAATATTTGGCTGATTTTACATCCAAATAGATCTAATAGGATGATTAGATTGTGATTTGCCATGATTTGTCATTCAATATTTATCTGCAGTATCTTAAATTTTAACCGTTTCTTTTTTTTGTTCTTTAAAGTTACATTATCTGTCCAACTTCGAAAAAAACTGAGACTATAACTCAGTATTTATAACCATAAAAAAAACCTATAAGTAATAATTCTGAATATCCGCAGAATAAATACCCGACATCGTTTCACTTTATATATTTTTGAACCGGAAGTGAAAAATATTGAAAACACACAACACGTGGGGAAACAAATATTTTTCATAATTTCAGCAATAAATCATGGGTAGAAAGAGAGATTTGACGGGAGATGGGCCAAAGAAAGGTCCTGGTAGAAAGGCAAAGAAGCAAAAACCTCCGCAAATGCCGAAGGAACTGAAAGAAGACGGTATGTACATACACAAAATAGGACTTAAATTTTAAAAGGAGATGTTTTAAAAAGGTTAACTTTAACCTCAGGCACAGGGGCTTGTTCAGTGGGTCAGACGAGGTTTTACTGTCAATTGCGGTCGCTATCCTATATAAAATGGCATGTTTTAAGTCTGAGAAAGTATCGATTTTGTGTATAAATGCTCAAATTTTTAGAATAGGGATTTATATCAATATATTGTCACCATACTTTTGACTAACCCTTTGACTGCTTTTAAAGTCCAGCTGTGTTGCCAGACAAGCTGGGGCCATGGGATGTCCAAGCTCGTCCCATATCAAAAAGTGGATATTTCACTGTATTTGCCTGTCCAAAATGGATGCGCCTCTTTGTTGCTTCTGGAGCAGACTGACGGCCTTGGATCCATATAAATCGGGCCTCAATTTGTTCATTTTTCATTTATCTCTTCATCTACCTGCTACTATTTATTTTCTCATATTTGGATAGGTTTCACAGTGACCCATCGATTCCGGCATTTAAATGTTTACTTTGAAAGATTATCATGTGACCAACGAGTGTGTTCCAATTGTTATCATGTTTGGCTAGGAAGGTTCAAGGCCGAAATTAGCTTAAAAATTTCCATACTTAAGTCTCGAGGCCTTGAAGTCTCTCGTAACTTGACGTCCATTTGAAAATGAAAGTTAAAATGCCGGAATCGATGAGTCACAGTGAAAACTGTCCTAATATGAGAAAATAAAGGGTGGCAGGTACAAATGTAGATGAAACTTACAGAAATGAAGAGATACAAATGAAAAATGAACAAATTGAGGCCCGTTTTTATGGATCCAAGGCCATCACGGCTTCAGTCGGCTCCAGAAGCATCAAGGCGTCGCATCAATTTTGGACGGGTAAATATCCACTTTTGGATATGGGACAAGCCCAGCTTGTCTGGCAAAACAGCCGTTGGATGTCAGAGCAATCTCGGACTAATAAAGGTATAGTGCACGGTTGGAAAAACCCTTATGAGTATTACCCAGCCCAGTGTTTAAATGGGTAATAAGAAATACTTGTCTGAAACTGTAAGATGATTGATCAGTGATCAATAACAAATACAACATATAAAAGATATTATAAGACATGCTATTTGAATTTATAAGTTCTCTTGTTTGAGACTTATTATAAAGTGTATAAATTTGAGAAAGTATTGGTCCAGAAACTCAAGAAATAAATGTTTTTTCTCATTGCTGAAGGCTGTACAGTGACCTTTAGTTGCTGACATCCACCTCATTTGGAACTTGGTGGATAATTGTCTCTTCTTCAATTATACTAAATACATATACTTGTAAGGAAAATCACTATAAATGTAACAATTATTGTTCATTGCTAAAAAGTGTGCTACATGTAAATGTACATGTACATCACTAATTTATATGTAATTACAGATTTGTTTATATTACAATATCTAACATTTTCATCTCTTAAAAGTAAAAGTGTGGGTGACATGTCCCCTTTGCGTGTTTATTTAGCAATATGAATTTACAGTTATTAAATTTTCAATTCACTAATACCATACACAAAAACGAATTTTTTCAAACTTTGGATTTATTAACTTAAAGCTTGGATTCAGTAAGGTATCCAAAAATGTGCGAAGCTTAATTGTTTGCTGCTTATATCATGTATATAGAATTATTATAAAAAAGGAAGAAATAGAATATTTAATCTCTGAAACTGACTTTCAATGTTTATCTGTATAAAATGCATAAAAAACACATATTGTAGTTTCATAATATTATTGCTAAATATATAGTATATATTTAGCAATAAAATTATGAAACTACAATATGTGTTTACTATTTTGTGTAAAAATAAACTGAACAAATCATATTGCCCAGTATTACCCATTTCTGGGAGTATTGCTCAGCCTGGGCATTCCCACCTGGGTTTTCCCACCCTGGTATAATGTTGTAATGACAAATATGAAGCCAGAAAATGCAGTTTTAAGATCTAGAGGTTTTCTGAATTCCTTTGCACAATGTTCATGATGTTAAAGATAAATTTCAGGTAGGACACAAAGTTCATTCTAAAAACATCGCTGTCAAAGGCCCTTTAAGGGTTAAAGTTCATCATAACAATTTTACAATATTGGCTGTCTACATCTCAAAAAAGTCTCTGAGTATTAGACAAACCTGTGCAATTGGAAAAGTTTTAAAGGCCTAACATATACATTGTTCAAATGCAAAGGGTCTATTAAGAACCATGACATAAGTACTAAATAAGTCATTCAATACGGTGTTCATTAAAAACATTTACATGTGCAGATTAAAATTATGCTCTTCTTGCTTGCGTGACTACTCCATTAAATAAGATGTCAGGCTGTTCTTGAATGTCTCCACCTCATCTATATTTGACAGTTGTGTTCATAAACTGTTCTTGTCTTTGGTGGTACGAGGAAAGAAGCTGTATTTGTAAGTGTTGGTTGATGTTTGCCTTGTCATCTGCATTTTGTGTTTCAGAAAGAAAAAAATCTTATTTGGATTTTGATGGGCATCTTTTTTAGCTCACCTGACCTGAAAGGTCAAGTGAGCTTTTCTCATCACTTGGCGTCCGTCGTCCTGCGTCCGTCGTCCGTCGTCCGTAAACTTTTACAAAAATCTTCTCCCCTGAAACTACTGGGCCAAATTTGACCAAACTTGGCCACAATCATCATTGGGGTATCTAGTTTAAAAAATGTGTCCGGTGACCCGGCCAACCAACCAAGATGGCCACCATGGCTAAAAATAGAACATAGGGGTAAAATGTAGATTTTGGCTTATATCTCTGAAACCAAAGCATTTAGAGCAAATCTGACATTGGGTAAAATTGTTTATCAGGTCAAGATCTATCTGCCCTGAAATTTTCAGACCAATCAGGCAACCCGTTGTTGGGTTGCTGCCCCTGAATTGGTAATTTTAAGGAAATTTTGCAGTTTTTGGTTATTATCTTGAACATTATTATAGATAGAGATAAACTGTAAACAGCAATAATGTTCAGCAAAGTAAGATCTACAAATAAGTCAACTTGACCAAAATGGTCATTTGACCCCTTAAGGAGTTATTGCCCTTTATAGTCAATTTTTAACTATTTTTCGTAAATTTTTGTAATCTTTTACAAAAATCTTCTCCTCTGAAACTAATAAGACAAATTTAACCAAACTTGTCCACAATCATTATTAGGGTATCTAGTTTAAAAAATGTGTCCGATGACCCAGCCCGCGAACCAAGATGGCCGACATGGCTAAAAAATAGTACATAGGTAAAATGCAGTTTTTGGCTCATATCTCTGAAACCAAAGCATTAAGAGCAAATCTGATGAGGATAAAATTGTTCATTAGGTCAAGATCTATCTGCCCTGAAATTTTCAGACCAATCAGGCAACCCGTTGTTGGGTTGCTGCCCCTGAATTGGTAATTTTAAGGAAATTTTGCAGTTTTTGGTTATTATCTTGAACATTATTATAGATAGAGATAAACTGTAAACAGCAATAATGTTCAGCAAAGTAAGATCTACAAATAAGTCAACTTGACCAAAATGGTCAGTTGACCCCTTAAGGAGTTATTGCCCTTTATAGTCAATTTTTAACCATTTTTCGTAATTTTTTGTAATTTTTTACAAAAATCTTCTCCTCTGAAACTACTAAGACAAATTTAACCAAACTTGTCCACAATCATCATTAGGGTATCTAGTTTAAAAAATGTGTCCGATGACCCCGCCCGCGAACCAAGATGGCCGACATGGCTTAAAAAATAGTACATAGGGTAAAATGCAGTTTTTGGCTCATATCTCTGAAACCAAAGCATTTAGAGCGAATCTGATGAGGATAAAATTGTTCATCAGGTCAAGATCTATCTGCCCTGAAATTTTCAGACCAATCAGGCAACCCGTTGTTGGGTTGCTGCCCCTGAATTGGTAATTTTAAGAAAATTTTGCAGCTTTTGGTTATTATCTTGAATACTGTTATAGATAGAGATAAACTGTTAACAGCAATAATGTACAGCAAAGTTAGATCTACAAATAAGGCAACATGACCAAAATTGTCAATTGACCCCTTAAGGAGTTATTGCCCTTTATAGTCAATTTTTTACAATTTTCATAAATTTTGTAAATTTTTGTAAATTTTTACAAAGTATTTTCCACTGTAACTACCGGGCCAAGTTCATTATAGATAGAGATAATAGTAAGGAGCAAGAATGTTCAGTAAAGTAAGATCTACAAACACATCACCATCACCAAAACACAATTTTGTCATGAATCCATCTGTGTCCTTTGTTTAATATGCACATAGACCAAGGTGAGCGACACAGGCTCTTTAGAGCCTCTAGTTATAGATAGAGATAAACTGTAAACAGCAATAATGTTCAGCAAAGAAAGATCTACAAATAAGTCAACTTGACCAAAATGGTCAGTTGACCCCTTAAGGAGTTATTGCCCTTTATAGTCAATTTTTAACCATTTTTCGTAAATTTTTGTAATCTTTTACAAAAATCTTCTCCTCTGAAACTACTTGGCCAAATTAAACCAAACTTGGCCACAATCATCATTGGGGTATTTAGTTTAAAAAATGTGTCCGGTGACCCGGCCAACCAACCAAGATGGCCGCCATGGCTAAAAATAGAACATAGGGGTAAAATTTAGATTTTGGCTTATATCTCTGTAACCAAAGCATTTAGAGCAAATCTGACATGGGTTAAAATTGTTTATCAGGTCAAGATCTATCTGCTCTGAAATTTTCAGATGAATCGGACAACCTGTTGTTGGGTTGCTGCCCCTGAATTGGTAATTTTAAGGAAATTTTGCTGTTTTTGGTTATTATCTTGAATATTATTATAGATAGAGATAAACTGTAAACAGCAATAATGTTCAGCAAAGAAAATTCTACAAATAAGTCAACTTGACCAAAATGGTCAGTTGACCCCTTAAGGAGTTATTGCCCTTTATAGTCAATTTTTAACCATTTTTCGTAAATTTTTTTAATCTTTTACAAAA